AATTTAGTACCAAAAGTATGTGAGATATGGGGAAAAGGCAAACTATATTTAAAAACATATAGCTTCACTGATCATTTTACAAAAAGTATTTTTGAGACCTAATAGTGCTTCACATATACACAGGTTAAAATGACCTGAACATGAAACATGTAACATTTTTATTTCATTAGTGGTTATGTCTTTTAAAAAATTAAAAATAATTGTAAAAATCTGGAAAAAAATGGGTGTATTTTGAGGATCTTAAAGCACTTGCAAATTTTCATTCCCTTACTAAAAAGGTTAAGTGTGAGGATATCTTTCACCATAGACCTAACTTTGGAAACATGTCCTCCAGGTCCAGGCTGAGCTGAAGAAGAGGTGGCAGCTGTTCATTTCCTCCAATCACTTTGAGGTGCACAACTGCTTTGCCGACATTCACCCCAAACACCTGTGGAAGTGCTCACAAAAGAGACACGGACAAAACACAGAACAGAGCGAATCCAATGAGGAGGGAAGCCACGCCCCTACACAGGGACATCTGCTGCAGGTGGCCGTCCAATCAGCAGAGGACGTGCCGTGTGGGCGGAGCTCCGGCATGGAGTACATGAGGAAGAGCCTCTCCAGCAGTGACGGGGACATGACTTTAGGAGAGACGATGGAGGAGATCTTAGAGGAGAGTGAGTTTTAACGTCTGTCATCGGCCCCCCTTTCAGAATAACTTTTCTATAAATATGTAATTAAGGATGTATATATATATATATATATATATATATATATATATATATATACTTTAACCACTGTAAATGGCTTCCATGATGTTTTTGATACCTGATTTTTGTATGTGTATATAATGCAAGGTGTTTGGATGGAGCTCCACAAACCAAGCTTTGAAATTCTCTACAAATTTCTTTTGTTGGCCAAATTAAACATTTAAACATTAGTTTATTGAACACTAGTTCATTGAACAACAAGAGTAGAGAAAACATGGAAGGACTGTGATTGAAAACAGCCCAGGGATTATGATGCTCTAATATGATATATAACCTGCTTCATTAGCTTGATCAATGGTTTTCAACTGGTTTTGATTCACAACTAAGATTTTACATGGGACATTATAGGTGGTGACTCAATACAGAACCAAAACTAATGTATAAATGCCACAGAAATGTCTTGAAATTCATTAAAGGGGTCATATGATGCGATTTTAAATTTTCCTTTCTCTTTGGAGAGTTAATAGATAAGATCTCTAAAGTTGCAAAGACTCATAGAGGAGAAACAATAATGTACAGTATGTGGAAAATAATGTGTTTTTTGAACCTTAAACCGCATAAACACATTGCATTACAGCAAATACACAAAATAATGTTCATTTTAGCAACATCATATGACCCCTTTAATGATGCCATAGATCCAACAATATGCTAAAGTGGTAATGTTATCAAATTTGTTATCCTAACTATGCTAGATAATATTGTTAAATGCAATTTATTGCATTTAGATTTGTATTTTTTCTTGCATTTTTTGTCAAAATGCACCAGTTGAGAGCCACTGTTTTAATTACACATTGACTTGCATCTTAATCTGCATTTTAATGTGTTTAAAAAATTTTTTTTACATTGCAAAGACAGTGCAATTAAATTAACAAAATTAATTAACACATTTCTCCCTCGTTGTATGTTTATTTGGTCAAACGGCCTATTGGAAAATCCCATATCTGGAAAAACCCTCGGTGTCTTAATTTTTATGCATGTATACTAGTGTATAGTGTATGCATGTATACTATTAGTAGTACCAGTAGAATACTAAAATGAAACCGTTTGCATCACTGTTACATATAGCGTTTTATTCATGAGCAAATGAGTGTGTAGCAAAGTTGTGGATTATTTACATCATTTGCATGTGGTTTCACAGCACATGATCGCCGATGATTGTGAATGTGACCGCGTCTTTGACCCTTTTTTACCAGAGGGCTGATTGTATCTCTGTATTTCACTGTAACTCAGTGTCTAGATATCCAGCTTTTCCATTTTTAACTGTCCATTTCGTTTCATGTTTTCTACTGCAGCATTATTACATGTACATTTCATGGCACACATTATATTGAAATCTTGGTCAACACATAACAGCAGAAATCAAAAGTATTACAGTGCACATGAAACAAAAGAATCAGATAGCAGTAAAACACAAACCAGCAGCAATTAAAAAAACAAACAAGCATTATTGCTTCTTCTCTTTGAGCCTCTCTTGGACCTTTTGTGGTTCGTCAAACTGAATCAGACGGAGGATGTTCTTATTGTCCATAACTCCTTGAATAAACTCGCCCTCTGTTATTTTACCTGATTATACAGAGAAAATGCACACTTCAAAACTCAATAAAGCTTGTTCTGTTAAAGGGGATGCATCTTTATTACACATTTATAACGCAATGCATACTAAAACTCGCTTACCGTTTTCTTTTTTCCCGAAGAAGTCCCAAATTTTATCTGTTCGTTTTTCAGGAGTATTCTCATCATCCGGAAGGTTTTTCTGGTCTTCTTTGGAGATCATGTTGAATATTGACTGCAAAGAAGAGCAAAGAGACTGTACATATTCTGATGGCAGTACATTACAAACAGTGCTGGGTAGTAACTGATTACATGCTCCTTTCTAAAGCATTCTACCACTTATTTGGAAAGCCTTCCAATTTTAGTAGTCAGAATACATCACCTAATATGTGTAATCCAATAGATTACATTACAAACTACAATTTCCGTCATGTAATCAGTAATGGACTACAATTTATAAGTAATCATTCTGTGCTAGTTTTCACCTTGACTATTTCATGAATCTCGTTTTTGGTGATGGTGCCGTTCCTGTCTACATCGTAGAGAGCAAAGGCCCACTCCAGCTTCTCGACGGTCTTCCCTGAGGATGTCAGATGCAGAGCCACAATGTACTCTTTAAAGTCCAGCGTCCCGTCGCTGTTGGCGTCGAAGCTCCTGAAGACGTGCTGAGCGTAAGCCTTGGGATCGGCGTCGGGGAAGAAGCTGGCGTAGATGCTCTCAAACTGCTCCCGGCTGATGCGGCCCGTCGGACACTCGTTCAGGAACTTCTGGTACCAGGCATAAAGCTGCTCCTCGCTGTACTTGGTGTTCATCTTCAGCTCCTCCAGAAGCTCTTTGGAAAGCGCTCCACTTTTAGCATTGCCCATTTTGAGAACTGTGACCAGGATAATGGCTCTGTCGGCTATTTAAACTCAATTGAGGATTAAAGAGGACAAAGTGATTATAGCTGAAGCGTCTTTTGATTTGATAGTTGGCACACAAGGAGTTAGTCTTGAAAGACTATGAGCTTATGTAACAGCAGGAGACCTCCTGATCTTATTTGATGCATTCGGATTAATTCGCAATATGGCAGCACGCTGTTACAAAACCAGTTTACTGGGGTGATGTTTGCCTACATGTGTTAATTAAGGTCCCGATTTTGCATGCAAATGTACCGTAGGATTAAAATCATCCTACAGTACAGATTACGAACCAACACTTTTACTATTTTTGGTTTGTGAGAGTGTTCAAGAACAATTAGTCAGTACATATTTATGCTTTTTTGCACAGTGCACTCTTAAAAGTAAAGGTGCTTCACGATGCCATAGAAGAACCTTTTTGTCTAAATGGCTCCTTTCTGTTTCACAAAAGGTTCTTTGTGGCGAAAGAAGGTTCTTTGATCTGATGGTAAAACTAATGACATTATTTACTGTCTTTACATTTATTTTGAATTATGGTTCGCGATTATGGTAAGGGGCGTTACATTTCCGACGAGTGCTTGCGGTGTTCGGCCAATCACAATGCACTGGGTCAGCTGGCCAATCAGAGCTACGCTTGTCGGAAGGAGGGACTTTGTAGAAAACTAAGCGTTTGAGAGAGGCGGGGCATAGAGGACCTACAATAATGTACAGTATTTGAAAAAGAATGTGTTTTTTTTTACATTAAAGCATGTCAACATATTCTGATACACCAAATAATGATCTTTAAAAAAGCATCATAAGACCCCTTTAAAATAAATATTTTAATAATGAAGTATCACATTTGCATGTTCATGGTTCTCTGGTTATGGTCACATGGCAAGTAAACAAATACAATATTTTATGTTTCCAGTAAGTGTTTGATTTTTGATTCGTTAATTTTTTTATTTATTTAACATTTTTATGATTTCATTAAATATTCGCTTTTCATTTAACTCCTAAACCCCCGGCAGTTCCTTCACAAACCATTAATGCTTAATACACTTCATGTTGTTGATAACAATAGAATATATTTTCTTACTCCTTGTATTTTTATATGTCAATATGGTACAAGATTATCCTAGTTAAATCATTGTGAAAAATTAGATAGTCTAAAAGTAATGTTTGCCTACATGTACATTTATCAAGGTCCATATTTTGCATATTTTGTACATGCAAATGTAATATAAGATTAAAATTAGAGATAAAGAACTGGTAACATATTTTTGGTATTATTATAAAATGCACAAAAACGTGAATACTATTAAGATTAAAGCACATTATATGTTGTTACAAAACAAATGTACAATATTATTAATGAATATATTATTAATGTGTGTGTGTGTGTACACACACACACACACACACACACACACAATCAACATATGGACAATAATATTTGATTTAAATCACAATAAGGTAGTTGTTACAAAACGAATTTACTGTAGGCTATATTTATCAGTATCCATATTTTGCAGTGGGATTATATATGCTCTTTGCACAGCGGTAACTATTTTTTATATGAATAACAATGAATATGTTTTTTAATAATAATGTATAAATTAATTAAATGTATTTATATTTATAATTTAGATGTTATAATATTACATTTAAATTGAATATTAAATTATATTATTGTATATTATAAAATGCACAAAAAACGTGAATAATATGACATTTGTCACAGAAATTTTGGAAGACACGTGACGCTCAGCAGAGTCATGCACGTGCAAAGTGCTGATGTCATGCAGATGGGGGCGGATCCACGAAGCCACGCCTCCAGTACGCCGAAATTGAACTGAAAATCATGAAATGTAGACTATTATAGCGTGAAGCGCCAGTGCAGTGCAGCTGTGATTGTAAAGCATCATAAACACACGCTCCTGATCATCTTCATCATCATCTTCATCATCATGTCTGAGCGCATCGGTTTCATCACGCGCGTGCAGAGCTTCAGCGCCTGCCATCGCTTACACAGGTGAGTTACTGTGTGTGAGCAAATAAACCAGTTTGCCTTCTAACCTCCACTAACGCGCTTTGTGGTCGATAGTGTGTCTGCTTTTATGTCGATATCGCAGAACAGCTGTGCATACATCCTTTGAACGCTGCGTTTGTCTTCGTAACTTCGCATTGTGAAACTTACTAATTTCAACTAGCAAAATGTGAATTCAGGTTTGGGTAAACCCATGCACATTATTCCAACAATCAGTCTGAATTGCAAACTGTTGCAGCCAGGAAGACCGAAACATGCTGCGTCAGCACGAAGGAATTATGGGAAATGTAGTTTCACCAGCCTGACTAAATGTTAACAGCTGCTTATTTTAAGTCATTGTCAAAAGTATTAATTTAAATAATAATAACAACTATTAGTAGTAGTAGTGGTGGTTGTATTCATTTTTATTAATTTTTTTAATTAGCAATATTTTTTGCACTTGCCTTGTGAAGGTCAGTGGACCGAAAAGTTTAAGAATTAGGAAGTATTGATAGTGTGCGGGTTCGTTACTTATTATACATTTTTTTAATACATTTTTTATTTTAGCAAATCATTAAGTGATGAGGAGAACAAAAGAATATTTGGAAAATGCAACAATCCTAATGGCCATGGTCATAACTACACAGGTGAGTTATTATACATGATCGCATGCATTAGTAATGCTTATGTCTCATGCATTTCATTCATGCACACACGTGAACAAGTTTTTGTTACTTATGTTTTTCTAGTTGAAGTGACAGTTCGTGGAAAGGTATGTTACGACCATGTTAGGTCAAAAGAAATGCACATTTTAATACTAAAGGATCTGGTGTATTGTGAAGTGTTAATATTTGTACATGTATAATATTTTCATAGATTGACAGAAACACAGGAATGGTAATGAACCTCACTGATCTGAAGGAGTATATTGAGGTACGGCCATCTGTACACTTAATAAATAAAAATAGCTGAATTTAATTTATTTATATTTGAGTTAATATTACATAACTAAACATTGATTTTACAAATAAATTCTATCGTAAATGTCATATTTGTTATTAATTTTTATTTTTTATTTTATTTGAGCAAATCATATATGTGCAGATATGCACATGTACAAGGGCTAAATATGCGAACATTGTTAATAAGTTATGTTTGTTTTTAGGAGGCCATCATGAAACCTCTTGACCATAAAAATCTGGATCTGGATGTGCCGTATTTTGCTGATGTTGTCAGGTATGACTCTCTTTCTGCCACAAATCTGTCACAATACAGTCTTTTTAATAACATTTTCATGTTTATTTGTGTCATGCAGCACCACAGAAAACCTGTCGGTGTTTATTTGGGACAGTATGGTGAAGCTTCTCCCGCCCGGCAGCCTGTATGAGATCAAAATATATGAAACGGACAAAAATATTGTGGTGTACAGAGGTGAATAGAGTATGAGAAGCTTGTGTTCATGCGGCGACTCTCAGTACAGCAGCGAACAGTGATTGATTTCGAGAAAGTATATTAGGTGAGAGCGGCACCTGCTGTGTTTCACTACACTATGGGATTAATGTAAGTCACTGGGAATTTGGCTCAGCTGTCCAGCATGTGAGACTGATCCTATTACACACAGAGATTACACACACGCACACACAAAATATTTTTCCAAATTAATTAGCAGCCTTCCCCTCAGCACCCGTCGTCTATATGGACCCATATTCATTCTCAAAGTAAGCCTGTTTGAACAGAACTTTAACTAATAAATATTGTAATCATATTTCATTTCACATTCACATTTCAATGCATTTTAATTATGTATCCTTTGCTAATTTTTTCAATGCATTAAAAAAAAAACAAGTATTTCCAATAGATGGCGCTACACGTGTGTCAGATTTCATTCCAATAAAGTTTGCCATCAAAAACCTGTATATCAAGATATAAATCTCTGTGTGATCGAGGAAAAGATGCTATACATTTGGATGTTTTATTGTTCTAGATATTTGACTCTGCTTCTGTTTTGAAGATTAAACGCTACACCAGCAGCCGGACTGATTCATGTCTATGTCTTGCGGAAATGCTTGGCGGAGAATGCATCACAATGACTTGAAATAAAAAATGTTATGTTGTCTGACTGGATATATCAGAAAAGACCCTGGCACGCATGCATGTGTGTTTACACGACTACGGCACCTGGCCAGGATCACCATTAATGTGGAGGAAAGTTTGACATAGAAATGTTTTATATCACTTGCCAGACCAAGACATTGCATTTAAAGGAGTAGTTCAGTTAAAATAAAAATGTACTCACCCTCAGGCCATCCAAGATGTAGATGTGTTTGACCTTTAAGACCTTTTCGACTTCAAACCGTTGCTTCTGGTTAGAATACGAGCATAATTCATAACGCTTCTCTAGTGAAAAAATCCATCGCCTGTCGTCTCGCACATCTAAATCCACTTTATAACATTTGTTTAGCGCTTCTTCGGCATGTAAACTGTGCTTGATCTGTGCAGATTTCTCTCCTGATTCAGACTCGGATTATGGACTCGTATTTTAGTTAAAAAGATCTTAATGATGGATTTGTTTCTTACAAACACACAGCTTTTGTCTTCTCAAGACGTTAACTGATGGACTGGAGTGGTGTGGATTATTGTGATGTTTTTATCAGCTGTTTGGACTCTCATTCTGACGGCACCCATTCACTACAGAGCATCAATTGGTGAGCAAGTGATGCAATGCTACGTTTCTCCAAATCTGATGAAGACACAAACTCATCTACATCTTGGATGGCCTGAGGGTGAGCACATTTCAGCAAATGTTCGTTTTTGAGTAAACTATTCCTTTAACTGCAAAAGTTAACAGCAGTCTGATTAATCTGAACAAGGAAGGAGTCAAATGAATACAATTAAACTGTCATTCCTGATGTGCTTCACCAAAAATGGCTTAATGTCTCTATGCAGAGCTGTATTGATAAATCAGTCGTTACATTTCATCTCATGACATTTAGGATGGAACAAGGCATCAATTAAAGCATTCCAAATTCCTGAAGATAACAAAGCGTGTCAGTGGTTTAAATAGTGAGTGGAGTTCAGGTGAAAGGATCACTGTATATTCAAGAGCTCAGCACACTGGCACTCATACAAAGAGAAATGTGGGTTATCGTTTAATATGAATATAGTGGCCAAACAAAAGCAGCATTCAGAGTGAGATGGCATGAATCCAGACAGCAATCTGATGAGCTGCGCGCTGAATTCTGCCTGTTGTTCTGGTATTTTGATTGATGTCAGAGTCACTGAAATAAAGGGCTTTAGCTCGACCGGTAGCTCTTGTTTGAACACATGCCGTGAAGGAGAAAATTGCTCTCCAATCATAAATCTCTGGCGATGTACTACAGAGTAAACACTTAGAAGAGAGCACAACTTAAAAATGTGCTGTAATACATCACACTAATCTTACCACAGAGCTCATACTGAACTCTTGACCTGCTTCAGTGTGTTCAGTGTTCGTCATAAATAGTTATTATATATCCACACTGTGCATATATATATATATATATAGAGAGAGGAAATATTTCTCAGGGTAGGTCTATTTCTGAAAGTCATCTATTTCTGCATGACCACATAGAGACTCGGTTCATTTATACTAAAAACAACATGTGACAACATGCCCTAATAGGAATCTGCCAGCAAAATGTAAACATTTAAAGCACAAAATAATTAATTAAACAGCAAAAATGTAAAAGATAAAAATATCAAACAATTTTTTGTCAAAATAATAATAATTTATAGACTGCATAATATATATAATACATGTGACAACTTGCCCCAACATTTAAACATTCAAAATTTAAAACACAGAATAATGAATGAAACATCTAAAAGAAAAAAAAAAAAGGAAACTATTTTTGGCCAATAATAATATTAATAATTTATGGATTGCATAAAATAATATATGTGACTACTGGAGTAATATATATATATATATATATATATATACATACATACACACACACACACACACTCTACCAGTCAAAAGTTTGGGATCAGTAAGATTTGTAATGTTTTTTAAAGAAGTCAAGGCTCATCACGGCTGCATTTATTTGATCAAAAATACAGAAAAAAACTGTAATCTTGCAAAATGTTATTATAATATAAAATAATGGTTTCCATTTTAATATCCTTTAAAATATAATTTATTTCTGTGATGCAAAGCTGAATTTCCATCAGCCATTACTCCAGTATAAAGTGTCAAACACTCTCATGAACAACAACAGTGATCATGTACAAATTCCACAAGAAAAAAAATTTGATATTTATTACAGCTCAATAAGAATGTTGATTGGATTTTCTGTAAAAAAAAAAAAAAGGTATTTCAAAACTACAAACAAATTTTCTTATACATACAAAAACATGTATAATTTCTGCACAGAACAAGGAAACCTATTTTCCAATGAGTTCAGAAAAAAATATTTATGTAGGGATGCACAAGATTATATTTTTGTCAATATTTTTCAAATCATTTTGGCCGATAGCCGATGCCGATACAGATATATATATTTCCCTTTGTTTTGAAACAACACCAAGTCTCTCTTGTGTGGAAATTATAAACAAATTAGTTTAATTTTGATTAGTTTCGAGCAAAAACGTATTTGTTAGAAGTAATAAAGGTTTAATGAGAGTACATTGAAAGCCTTGAAAATAACTAATAAAATCAATCTCTGCTGTGTTGTTTTTTCTCTCAGACAGAAGCAGTTGAAACTTTAACATTTTATTTGTGGATTTAACATTAATAGATGGTCTAAAACAAAAGAGCTGTAAAAATTCTAAAATTTTAGAGCTTTTAGAGCTCCTAATATTTACGTTTTCATAATCCATTTGAAAAAATATATATTACATGTTACTGAATAAATCTGTTTATATCGAATTATTTAATTTGCAAGTGTCATGCTTGTCATTTTTATTCGTGTATGCTATAGCTTCTGACCTTTAAATCAAAACAGAATCGTGAATTTATGATATCGATACTGCTTTATTTATTCAGAAACACAAGTATCTTAATGGTATTTGTGTATTTTACTTGCATTTTATTACAAGTAGGCCAACAGCGCCCCCTAAGTAAATAAAAGGCCTTACCTCCTTGCACTTGGACCCTGAGGAGGCTGCTGCTACAGCACGCGCTAGAAACTGCATTCTCAAAATAAATGCAGCTATTGAAAAAGATGAAACAAACCATAATTCAGGCAAAAGTTGGCTTCAAGAATGGCCACACTTCTGACCTGATCTTATCACTTTCACACCCTGAGCACGTGTGAGCTATTTGTCAAGGCATAGCAGCATTTTTTTTCAAAATCGCCTGATGCCGATGTTTACCTACATTTTAAGACTTTATCAGCCGATAACGTTCCGATAATATCGTATATCCCTATGCAAAATATTGCAATATCTTAGGCAATTTTTATTCTGAATTAAATATACAGTATCTTGTTAGAATGTTTATGAGCTACCGATCAAAAGTTTGAGGTGTGTAAGATAGCTAGTGTAAGATTTAAAAAAAAAAAGAAATTAATTATTTTATCAAAAGTGACAGTAAAGACATTTATAAATGTTACAAAAACAATTAAATGCTGTTCTTTTGAACTTTCTATTCATCACAGAATCCTGAAAAATAAATTGTTTCCACAAAAATATGCAGCTACACAACCGTTTCCAACATTGATAATAATCAGAAATGTTTCTTGAGCAGCAAATCTGAAGAATCATGCGACACTGAAGACTGGAGTAATGATGCTGAAAATTCAGCTTTGTTCACAGTCAGGAATAAATTACATTTTAACACAGAAAACAGTTCTTTTCAATTGTAATAATAATTCACTATTTTTACTGTAGCAATTTTACTGGTGAGCACTGAGACTTCTTTCAAAAACAAAAAAAATCTAAAAGACAGAGTAAGTTACATAAATAATGAGGATATATAGAAACATAAATAATGAGAGCTGTTTAGTAATGACAGAGAGAGTGAATCTGTGTGAATCCCTGCTGACAGTGTGTGTGTGTGTGTGTGTGGAGGTGGAGAGTGTCAGAGGGAGTCTGATGTTTTCTTTTCATGCTGGAGTTCCTCCCCCTGTGAGCGTGTGTGTGTGTGTTTAGCGCGGCTCAGGTAACAGACGCTTCACTTCCTCTGCGTTCGTGGAGGAGACAGCAGGATGGGAGCCTGAGGATGGAGAAGAAGGTGTGTGTGATCCAGACTGACTTCCACCAGTACCGGCCCATCATCATCCACAGTCAACACGTAAGACACAGCATTTTCTACTTTTTGGGTGCTTCTGTGGGCCTCACGTTCACACACACACACACACACACACACACACACACACACACACACACACACACACACACCCTGTGTTAGTCAGACACACCCTCACGTTCAGCAGTGTTTGAGCTCTGATGAGTGTCTGAGTATTTAGTTGCTGTATGTGTGTGAAGGATCAGTGTTTCTTTGTGAATTTTGGATTGACGGGTGTTAATGTGCAGGTAAACACAGACACACGTGTGTTCTCCAGGAATGTAAACATATGAACAAAACCACAGTCCCTCTGTGAGTGACACTCTCACACACACACACACACACACACACACACACACACACACACACACACACACACACCCTGTGTTAGTCAGACACACCCTCACGTTCAGCAGTGTTTGAGCTCTGATGAGTGTCTGAGTATTTAGTTGCTGTATGTGTGTGAAGGATCAGTGTTTCTTTGTGAATTTTGGATTGACGGGTGTTAATGTGCAGGTAAACACAGACACACGTGTGTTCTCCAGGAATGTAAACATATGAACAAAACCACAGTCCCGTCCCACAGTTCAAAGGGTCTTCAGTTGGGCTGCCATAGATTTCAGTAATGACAAATGAGAATGATTTCAGACTGATACTGATACTGAATTTCACATTTTATGTTTAGTCACACACACACACACAGGTTTGTTTTTATGGTTTATGGGGACTCTCCATAGGCGTAATGGTTTTTCTACTGTACAGACCATATTTTCTATTGCCCAACACCAACCTTACCCCTAAACCTACCCCTCACAGGGGGGGGGGGGGGGGGGGGGGGGGGTTGGAGTAATTCAAAGTTTCAAGATTCGTTGATGTTTTGAAAGAAGTCTTTACTGCTCACAAATACTGCATTTATTTGATAAAAAAAACACACAGTAAAAACAGTATGTTAAAACTTAATTTATTCCCGTGATCAAAGCTGAATTTTCAGCATCATTACTCCAGTCTTCAGTGTCACACGATCCTTCAGAAATCATTCTAACATGCTGATTTGTTGCTCAAGAAACATTACATTTATATGCAAATAAGTTATTTACAAGGTTAGTCAGTCAATTTTTTTAAATATTAATTTTATACTATTTTACAATTAATATTTCATATTTTATAAAATATAAAAATGTTTATGTATATATACATATGCACACATATTATAAATAAACATACATGTAGATTACTTAATAATACTATTTCTTTCTCTCTTTTTTGTGCCAGTGATTTACTGTCAGAGTTGCAATAGCATCTTTCATTTTGTTTTGGTTTATATCTTGGTCAACTTTTGTCCTGCCAACATGTAAGTGAAGTCGATTTACCAGCATCTGCAGCACACATGCATTAGGAGCAGCTCTGATGTGCATGCAACATATATCATGCCATATGTGTATGTCCAGGAAATCATGCATTAAAAAATCTGGCGACATTGCAATCTGCAATATACAATATAACAAGTCTATTTTACCATCAAACATATGGATTTTTGAATATCCATTCCTTTTCTGAGCTAGAGTGAACACAAATCTTTTCTGCCATTGCAGCCCTTGAAAGAGATCTAATAAAAATAAATATAGAGAGGATGATGGGTAATTCAGAGCTCTTCAGCAAATGTGTAAGAATTCTAATAGTTTTAGTGGATATATTATGTTACAGGATGAGAATTCAACACCGCTGTCTACAATTAAGCAAAAGATGTCGTTATAATGTTAAATATATGTAAATATGTAGCCTATTAAAATGTTCTTTTGGTCAATTTGAACTTTGCAGAAACACAAATGTCACATGCATTCTCATATTGTAAGAATTAATCAATAATGCTTTTGTGAAATGGTGGAATTGCTACAGCTGTTAAAAAGCTTGTAGACCCGCGTGTGTGTGTGTGTCACCTCTGTAGAGCTGGAATGCAGTGTAGGGGAACAAATTTATTTGGAAAACTGCTGCTCATGATCTAGGCCTTGAACAATTGACTGTGAAAGCAGGAATGTGAAAGTCTTTTTTTTTTTTGCCAGAGGAACTGTATTTAACACAGTATTTAATGCAAATGGAGGCTTATTTCAGGTATTACATCTCACAAATAATGCAATTTGTGTGTTTTGACAGTCCGGTCTGACATATATCCTCCTCAAGTTGAAACATGAAAACTTCACCACACAAACAGTGCCATTCATGAGGCCTTAAGGGATTTTACATTGTAGCTGTTTGAAGAGCTCTCACACCAATCGTTTTGCTGACATGCTTGAAAGATTAGGTTTTTAGGTCACAAATTGTAATTGTGCAAGGTTTTTTGTTTGGAGTGCATATCACTAAATGCACTTTGATAATGTTCAAATTTCTCTCATTATTAAAATAACTACACATACATCAGATTTTCTCTAGAGATAAGATGGGATTGTTTTTCTTAATCACAGACATTTTGGCTCGAGCTTCAGCAGAAATTCTTCCTTTTATTTTTATTTTTTTAAAACAGCTTTTGAGTTTTGGAAAATTAGTTCACATCTGGTTTTCCATCCACAAAACTTGAAATCTGTGCTTTAGTGGCAAAGCCAGATTTGCTTGTTAAATCTTGTAGCTAAAATTGAGTTGAGAGGAATGATTGACATTACAGTAAAAGCTCTTATAAGGGCACACTTATGATATTCATCAGACTTTGCAGGCAATAAGCTAATGCTGACACGAAAAAGCTGTTGCCAAACATCTGCATCTGCAACTAAACAGACTAATGTTTTGAACTTATTTTAATGAAATAAGCTACATACAGGTTCTGAGCTTCCTATATTTTTACTTGTATAAAAGAGAAATAATCTGTAGGCTATATCCACCTTTTGCAAGTAAGCAATTCTGTTAATGTAATTTTTTACAAAATGTCCCAACTTCTCTGGAATTAGGGTTGTAGTTTTAAAAGCCCTCATCATTCAAATCACATACAGTTATCATTTGTTTACAATATCTATGAGAATGTTCATGCAAAAACCTTTAAAGGGGTCATATGATGCGATTTCAATTGTTCCTTTCTCTTTGGAGTGTTACAAGCTCTTGGTGCATAAAGAAGATCTGTAAAGTTGCAAAGACTAAAGTCTCAAATCCAAAGAGATATTCTTTATAAAAGTTAAGAGTCAGCCACGCCTACCTAAAACGGCTCGTTCTAACACGCCCCCACATGTCTACATCACTGTGTGGGAAGATTTGCATAACGCCGCCCAAATGTTCACGCAAAGAAAGAAGGCGTAACTTCTATTCTCGCTGTAGCATTGTTGCGCCGCTGCCATGTCATGAAGATGCTGTGTGCTTCGTTGTGAAAGTGAAACTACTTTGTTTGGTCTTCCAAAAGAGGACGATATCCGCTTCGTCATGCCTGGAGCTGATCCGTGCTGGTCGCTGAGGAAATACATCAACTTCACGCTGTGGATCGCCGGATCGGCTTTCACCGTGGACGAAGCGGAGTCCAGCCCAGGGTCGTCACATGTGGTTGCCGCAAGCCCACCGGACGCTCCTTTGTCGAATCCACCGGCCGCGACGTTCTCAAGCCCACCGGCCTCCGCTCACTCAAGGCCGCCGTGTGTTTCGTTGTGAAAGCGAAACTACTTTGTTTGGTCTTCCAAAAGAGGACACGACTAGAAATCAGTGGTTAAGTTGTATTTACAACACTGTTCCAGAACACTTCAACCCAAATATTCAGATGTGTGCAGCACATTTTATGGAGGACTGCTTTCTGGGAGAGTAGACTACAATGCCGGCTGTTCTGACTCACAGATTGTAAGTACGTTTTTTATATTTAAAGAATTTGCCACTGATGATTGAAACGTGAGTTTTGAGCAGTGTAGAGCAGCGCTTGTTGTTTTTCGTTCCTCCGATCACAAATGCAGACATGGTTTTATGTTTACGCGGCACGATGCAACGCAACGGGTAAAAAGACAGTATAAGTCATTATAATCAGTAATTATGTCCCCACTGGATGCAACAAATGCCTCGTTTATAATGGGTTTTATTGGTTTTGTCTCGTCGCTCCGGGACACGGCATCACAGTATGGTGAGGGGCGTAACATTTCCGTCACACGCTTGAGGTATTCGGCCAATCACAACGCACTGGATAGCTGGCCAATCAGAGCACACCTCGCTTTTCAGACCGATGAGCTTTGTAAAAATCGACACGTTTCAGAAAGGCGGGGCATAGAGGAGAAACAATAATGTACAGTATGTGGAAAATAATGTGTTTTTTGAACCTTAAACCACATAAACACATTTCATTACACCAAATACACAAAATAATGTTCGTTTTAGCAACATCATATGACCCCTTTGAACTAGCCTTAGAGCAATGCACATCTCGTCGTTTGTTTATGAAAACAGACCACCTTATTGAAAAAATCCAGCATATGCTGGTAAGGTATTTAGAAGTTTTGAAGCATGGCTGCTGGTCCTGAGCAGGTGCTTAGGACCAGCTAAGGACCAGCTTAAACCAGCTCAAACCAGCAGCCTTGCTTCAACAGGGCATGCCCAATCATCTGTCTGCTTTATAGAGGTGGACACCGAGTTGCACCTGCTTCGTGACATTGCATTTATACGTCACCAGTCAGCTGTCATGTGTAAAGAGCGTCACTTACGTCAGTGGAATTCTGAATTTCCAAAGAGAAATCCCTATAGGAGTTTCTGCTGTGTCTCTTTTGTAGTCATGTACATATTGTGATTCATGATGAATAGCATATGATTACTTCAACAGACAGATTCTCTTCCCTCATATGACTGTTTAATGCAGTCCTATTAATGATTTTTCCTCTTGGCTTTTTATCTGAAACTCAGTACATTGAAGCATAAACCTTGCAGCAGTCTCTCTCTCTCTCTCTCTCTCTCTCTCTCTCTCTCTCTCTGTGTTTGATCCTGGAGAGTTATTGTAGTGGAAACATATCAGTGGAAGAAGTCGAGCTTGTTTTGAATTGGGCCAAAAGGCCCCAGAAGCAGGAGGGGCTCCAGACTGAAGAAACGCTCTTTCTGCACTGCTCAGGTTCATCCACAGGCAGGGATGAGGGATCGAGAGGAGCTGAAGAAAGCCATCGAGCAGACGGATCGCCTGCTGTCCCGCGTCCGGCAGCTGGAGGGGGAAAACTCAGAGCTGTGCAGGGAGAAACATGACGTTTTCCTCCGGATGCGTGCTGTAAGTCTTTCTGCTGGCTGGCATTGATGCTGTTGACTTCATGTGCAGGAAATGTCTCTTTACCTGGAAAGGTTCATTGAATGCGGTGTCACATTCAGAGAGCACTTCTGTTTTGCATTTTTATGCTTGAATGCACATGCTTTTCATTTTAAATAAACGTACAAATATTGCTATAAAATAAGCATGATTAATTATACTAAAAATGATATGATTAGTGTTATATACATTAGGGTCCAAGTCTGAGACCACTAGTGAAAATGCTTCTCTTTTGCATTATTCTACTTTAACGCACATGCTTTAAAAAAAAGGAATATCAATTCAGCGCAAACTGGACACCACAGAACAAATGCGTATCTTATGTCAGGTGTTTATGAATCATGCGTTTGACCCAGTGGTTATTCTGGCTGAGCGTGTATATTTCCAAAGTGCTTGGAAAATGAGTCTTTTTCCCTGATTCCATCCCCTGTCAGAAAATCTCTCCCCCCGCTGTAATTATAGCAGATCTAGGTTTCACACAGCCGTAATTCATCTGTCCTCTGCTGCCAGATCACAGCCACTGATTGCTGGGTAAGATACAGTAGATTAATTGGGTCTTATCAGAGAGTATGTTATTTAAAGCCACACTTTTTAACATCACATTGAGGGCATTCATTTGAGCACTGATCTTTTTCCCCGAAAAACTTTAGCACAGTTAGTTCTAGCTGTGTTCCTTCCACTATGAGATTGGAATCTGTTAATATCAGGATAACTTCCAAATCGAATGCAGATCAAAATAGGCATTTTGTTATTTCCTAACAGCTTCTGACTGTCTCCCTCATTTATTCCATGTGTTTCTTGTCATGAAATTTCAGTTTTAATCCTATGAATATAGAATGGCAAATTTAGGATTGCGAGTTGTGAACTTAGATTTCGGAGAAAAAAAGTCAGAATTGCGAGATATGAAAGAAAAATTGGTGAAAAGTTAGAATAGTAAGATGTAAAATCAGAATTGTGAAATGTAAACTCACTCAGAACTGTGAAAAAAAGTTCGAATTACGAGATGTAAACTCAGAATTGTGAAAAAGTCAAAATTGTGAGATATAAAGAAAAAGTCAGAATTGCGAAATGTAAACTCAGAACTGTGAAAAAAATTTGAATTGCAAGATGTAAACACAGAACTACGAAAATGTTAGAATTGCGAGATGAAAAGCCAGAATCGCAAGATGTAAACTCAGAATTGTGAAAAAAACATTCAAATTGCAAGACGTAAACTCAGAATTGCAAGAAAAGTCAGAACTGTGAGATGTAGATTAATAGTTTAGAGAAAAAAAATGTCATGGAGAGAAAAAATCTGAATCGCGAGATGTAAAGAAAAAGGCAGAATGTGAAATGTAAACTCACTCAGAATTGCGAAAAAAAAAGTTCGAATTACGAGATGTAAACACAGAATGGCAAGAAAGAAGTCTAAATTGCGAGATGTAAAGAAAGGCAGAATTGCGAGATGTACACTCAGAATTGCAAATAAAGGTCAGAATTGCAAGTTTGCAAAGAACATTTGAATTTGCATGATGTAATCTCAGAACTTAAGTGAAAAAAGTTAGAATCACAAGATGTAAACTCAGAATTGCAAGAAAAGTGAAAATGGTTTGATGTGAATGAATGGTTCGGAGATATAAACTCAAAATTGTGAAAAAAATAAAAAGTCAGAATTGCGAGATGCAAACTCAGAATTCAGAGAAAAAAGTCAGAGTTATAAGATAAAAAGTTGCAATAACCTTTTTACATTTAATCATTTATCCAAAGCGACTTACAATTGGGGAATTTTTATTCTGTGGTGGAAAGTTTCCATAGTTTCCAACTTAAAATGTTCTCATCAAAAAATGAAAGAAAAGTGCTGACTGCACGCTGTTTACCATCTAATGACTGATAATGTGAAATGAAAGTAGAACGCTGTGATGCCATACTTGCGCATGTGGAAAAGCTTTTGAGGCGCAGAGCTGGATTTGTGAATGAGGCCTGTCCCTGGAAGAGGAAATACACCCTTCTATGACAGCGCTTTATACGACAGTAAAATGCCCATTAACAGTCATTAACTCATCACTTTTGGGCCAAGAATCGAATTAAATAATTGAAAGCAGATTGAGATATGCTCAAATCCTAATAGGCCTGCTAGTGCAAGACATAAAAATCTATTTACTGATGTTTTATGTTGTGCAGTTAAATGCAAAAATGTTCAGATACTCATGGATTAAAGCTAAACTTCTATTGATCAGTGCATTTCATATATCAAATGTTTTCCAGTCTCACAAGCTCATTAAACAGCAGTTTGATATCACAGATGTGCTGTAATCACAGCTGTTCTGCTGCTCCAGTGTTTCTGAGGACTTCTTGTTTAGAGTAATTCTTTGTTTTAGCGGACCCATACTGTTTATCTGTGTTTTCTGAAGCCCATACGGTCGACTAATGCAATCCTAACCATGTGCTCTTGGATTCAGAGAAACATCTGTCCTCTCGTTGAACATCTGAGTTTAGCTCACTGAAGACTGGATGCTGAAGTTTGAAAGGTTACAGGATGTTGAATGAGGAAGAACCATTTCTAAAGAAGTTATCTTGAGTGAAAATGAGTTTATGCTGTTACGCTTCTCTTGCTCCTAGAAACAACACATCTTTGAAATACAGAGGACAAAAGGTTGGGTTTCATGTCATGGATTTAGTTGACATTTTTATTAATAAAATTAGATTAGGGGTACATAAGAATCAGAGCCAATAACTATTCAAAAGTTTGGGGTCGGTAAGATTTTGTAAGGTTTTTCTGCTCGTCAAGGCTATATTTATTTGATCAAAAATATAGTAAAAAATTTGAAATATTATTACAATTTATAGTAGCTGCGTTCTATGAGAATATATTGTAAAATGTAATTTATTCCTGTGATCAAAGCTGAATTTTCAGCATCATTAATCCAGTCTGTTTCACACGATCCTTCAGAAATCATTCTAATATGCTGATTAATATAGTAAAAATTTTGAAATATTATTACAATTTATAGTAGCTGCGTTCTATGAGAATATATTGTAAAATGTAATTTATTCCTGTGATCAAAGCTGAATTTTCAGCATCATTAATCCAGTCTGTTTCACACGATCCTTCAGAAATCATTCTAATATGCTGATTTGCTGCTCAAGAAACATTTCTGATTATTATCAATGGTGAAAACAGTTTAATATTTTTGTGGAAACCATGATTAATGGCTTATTTTCAGGATTCTATGATGAATAAAAAGCAGGGGCGGACTTACACATTAGGCAAAGATAGGCAACCGACTTGGGCCCCCAAAAGCCAAGGGCCCCCTAAAATGCTTTTCATATAGGATATGCGCATTAAGCGCTGACACGTGAACAGTTGCTGTTTATGGTGTTTATTACGACGACAACCGTCCGAGTCAGTGCCGCCTGCAGGTGTACAGCACTGTGAGTACCATGAGCGCTCAGACTGATCTGAGATTTGCCCCGCAAGCATTTCAGCAGTTATAGGCCTGTGTGTCCCGTATTTCTGTCGACTGAACCAGCCATGCCACTAATTATGAATTTATATTTTGCATGCCAAAGTCCATTTCTGCATAGAAATATGCCAAATAGAAGCGTGCTATATGCCTTTACATGAGATCGGGTTAGCCTACAACAATTAATTTGTTGGCTATTTTACAAATCGCAAATTATAATCGGGCCTTCCATCAATTATGGTGATGAAAAAAATTACTCGCCATCTCCTAATTGGATGTGCCTTTAGAGAGAAATGCAGGGATTACATAATGAAAGAGTTTATTTTATTAAGAGTCTATTTTCGATTTGAATAATTTCGTTTTAAAGTAGTAATTTAAAGCCTTCTATATATTTTGATCATGTCTGAGTTTAGGTTCATCATTGTGAAGCGCTCCTGTTCAAGCCCGAAACGGTAGAAACTGCTTTATTTGATAAAAGCACAACGTTTTGTTGATATTGTGAGAGCACACAAATAAAACTAGACCCTTTACAGTTTATAATGATGTATTACTCTCACCTTTATGAGCAAAAATGACTGCGTAGGCTATTTTAAGTTGTTCCCACTGTTAGAAAAAAATGCAAGTGATCGCGCCGGCGCCTCAATGTCCTGCAGAGCGCGCTTCAGCTTCCACACTCCGCACAAACTACTGGATATGCGTCTAACAGCGCACTTTTATCTAGGTTAAACATTTAAACTAACATTGTTATGTGCTTGAACTGTTTTATATATAGATTTTATTTTAGGCAAGTCCTGATGATTTGAGAAGGCTAAATTGATCAAGCATAGGCTATGATCAATTCACTGTCTGCCGCTGGCAGCTACTTAAAAAAAATAATAATCACTTTTCCATTACATATAAAACTGAACTATTTTAATAGCTGAAACCATAGTAGCCTATAAGCTTTTTTTTTTGGGAAAAGGGGAAAAAAGGCGGGCTAGGATATTTGAGGCCCGTGCAGGGCTTTAATCCACTTCATCCAACGCGGCTTTGTTCTCATCTGTGAGCATGCTCGTGATATATGTATTTTAGGTGTGTAAATGTATAATTGCCTTTTACATTATTTTTTCAGTTTTATTTACATTTGTAGTTAAAACAACTAAATTTATTTTAAAGTTTAGAATTAGGCAGCCTTTGCACACAGGCTTACGCTGAAAACAACAAAATGGAACCTCAAGGTTGATCTAGGAAAATGTGTAGAAGTGAGTATAATGTTTTGTAATGAATCTTTGCAAATAGCCTTTCCTAATAATGTGCTAATTAGCAAGTTTCACGATGAATGCGGCTAAAGTAAACAGTCTCTCTGAGAGCAGCTCGGAAGAGAGGGGCGGGGTCAGCAGAGCTCATTAACATTTAAAGGAAAATGCTACAAAATCGGCTTGCTCTGAAAAGAGCTGTTTTTGACAGGGTAAAAAGGGTGTTTTTTACACTACCATTGAGAAATTTTAACTAAACTATGTTACAGACTTTTCATTAAGACCCTAAAGAATCATATCAACTTGTGGAAAATGGGCATCCTATGACCCCTTTAAGAAAATGTGAGTGTGTTTGCCAGTGCCATGATTCTAGGATGCTGTGGATGGTTGCCAGGACATTATTATTTGCTTCAGAAAGGTTTTTAATAGGTTGCTATGCGGTTGCTAAAACATTGCTAGGTTGGGGCTCAGGGTCCCTCCTTACACTGGCATAATAATATGATAAACTAGATCATATTTGTTGTTAAAAAGTAAGTGCATAATTTCAGAATTGCAAGATAAGCTAGATTTTGAAATGTTCAGAAGAAAATGTTAGTGTGTTTGCAAAAGTTCCTTGTGCTTTGTGGATGGTTATTAGTGGCTTTTAATAGGTTGTTATGTGGTTGCTAGGACAATTCTTGGTGGTTTCTTATTGGTCAAAAGAGGCGTTTCTTGACATGATAATATGATTCATTTTTGTTGTTAAAACGTGTGTAATTTCAGAGTCCTGAAAATAACTAGATTTTTAGTGTTGAGTTCGCCAGTCCAAAAGTTGTTTGGGTGTTGATGGTTGCCAGGATGTTGTTTTTTGGTTACAAAATGGTTCTAAGGGGTTTTTAATAGGTTGTTATGCAGTTGCTAGAAGGTCTTATTGGTCAAAGTCACAAGAGTCCTTTCTAGATTTTGAAATTCCCTAGACAGTGCTCAGGCTTCCTCCTTCAAACTAAGAGTGATTTTTTTCACCTTGAAGATGGAAAATATAGCAAACACCACTAATTACTGTTTGCAAATGAAACAGGAATGTCTATGCATCATGTTTATTGAATGAATCAACTGACCCCATCTGAGTTATAGTGGTCCATATGTGTTTTGCATGTTTTCTACAAATGCTGATACAGATATCCATTAAGCAAGCAATCTATTTAAACAGCACTTACACTATTATCGCACAGTGCTTCACAGAATAAAGACAAACAATGATCAATATAAGACAAAACTAAACCTTAACACGAAACCATACAATCATTCATAGCAAAATCCAAATTAGACAATGCAGAACATCATCGGAAATAAAATAAAAAATGGCTTTGGATTGAGTCAATCTCAAACTCCACACTTTTAACAGATTGGCATGAGAAAAAGAGTCAAATACACTTTTATACATGACAAGCATATTGATTAATAATAATGAAGGTATTTAATACTTTTTTTGGCATCACTCACCCACCATAACACACTCTTGTCTGGCACAAGTTTGAACAATCTTAAAGGGATAGTTCACCCCAAAAATGAACATTTGATGTTGTTGATTTAATGAAAACATGGTCTTCAAACGTGATGATCCAAGTCAATGGCTACCATCGCTTTGAGAGTCAAAAAAGCATTTGTGACCCTGCAGCACAAAAGCAGTGTTAAGTCGCTGGGGTATATCTGTAGCAATAGCCAACAATACATTGTATGGGTCAAAATTATTGATTTTTCTTTTATGCCAAAAATCATTAGGATATTAAGTAAAGATCATGTTCCATGAAGATATTTTGTAAATTTCCTACTGTAAATATATTAAAACTTAATTTTTGATTCGTAATATGCATTAATAAGATCTTCATTTGGACAACTTTAAAGGCGATTTTCTCAATATTTAGATTTTTTTGCAACCTCAGATTCCAGATTTTCAAATAGTTGTATCTCAGCCAAATATTGTCCTATCATAACAGAGGATGTATAAATCTCAATTTCGAAAAATCGACCCTTATGACTGGTTTTGTGGTCCAGGGTCACATATCAGTGACTCCTGATGATTTATTGAGGTCTTTAATGTAACTAGCTGGTCTTCTGGAACAAGCTGATCAAATGGTTAGAAAATAAATAAAGGGCCATACATTGAGAAAAATTGGTTTAGGACTTACTTTGACTTTGATTTTGACTCAGAAATTGCTAGTAAACTTCACAACTAATTACAAAGAAATAAGAATCTTTCGAAATAGAAAGATTAAAACAGTATTTCCTTGTTAGTCATACTCTAATAATCTTTGTATTATTTATAACTGCACATAATTACAAGCAAGTGGAAGCAGTTTTTGAGTCTGTTACATGAACACTTCCTTCGTCTTCCATTGGTCAGACAAACAGATGGCCCCGCCCCAGTGTTGTTCTGTCTCTTCCAGTTGAGCTGCTCGAACAAAAATATTTCAGTTGGTCCTGTAACATGTTAAGGTGATGTAACACTGCCATTAATGTCTTAGTTGATAAGCAAGTGATAAAAACAGATGCTTTACTAATGAGCCAAACTCGAATGACTGAAATCAGAACAGAACAAGTACATTTATGGAGAAATATGCTCGTGGGCAAAACACATCCACTGCCAACTTTGCAAGGACCCTCATATTTGTGTGTTTTTAACTTGATGGCATGTATCAAAGTACAAGTTGCAAAAGCAGAGCTTTTTATGTCCTGTTGGGACTAGTTTGTTAAATGATCCGCTCCGTCGAGGGAAGATCACTTTGTCCTTCTCATGTTTTGAAGCTTCTGATCACAGGACGGTTGTGAAGAGCTCAGCTGCTTTACGCTTTGAGCCTCTTTTGTTGCTCTTTTCCTGTCATCCCCTTCTGAAGTGTGTCCCCCGAGGCCGACATGCAGCGGGAGACTCATCCGTGTCCTCTGTCTGTTTCGTCCTCCCCGGAGCAGGAGCAGGAGAGCCTCCATCAGGCCGAGCAGCGCTGTGTTCAGCTGGAGGCACAGGTGGTGGGACTGGAGGAGCGTCTGGAGCAGGAGGAGGGCGCCGCCGCTCAGCTGGCCTCCCAGCGTCACCGGCTCGAGGCCGAGTGCTGCAGTCTGCGCCGAGACCTAGAGGAGCTGGAGAACACGCTGACTTCAGTGGAGAAGGACAAGCAGGTAGGACTGGCTGACATGCGCTTGACCTGTTACAGTGGAGGGACTGCAGCCATTTCTGTTCTTATGAGCTTTTTCCACCACGTTGTAAATCATGCATCATTAGTAGTCTGGAGAATATCATTTGAAACTGTACTGGAATATTTCGTGCTTCATGATTTAGAGCAGAGGAGAGGACCTACAGTTCTTATGGGGACCAATCTAGATTTTGACTTTATTTTTGGTGTTAAATTCAGATAATAAGGGATCATGTAGGACCACCTGTAAATACTGTATGCATTTGTAAACATTCTGGTAAAACTAAAATGATGCAAAATTTAAAAAATGTATTTGTTGTCTCACAGTAAAAAAGGGGACTTTATATCTTACAATTTTGTTTCTCATAAATGCAACTTTATTTCTCTTAATTGCAGCTTTATTTCTCGTATTGTGACTATTTCTCGTAACTTTGTGACTTTATGTTTCAGATAGGGACTTTTTAAAAGAAAAATAAAACTTTTTTTTTTAATAATTGTGACATTATTTCTCGTAATAGCAAATTAATTTTTTCAATTCAATTCAAGTTTATTTGTATAGTGCTTTTCAGCTTATGTTTACGCAAAGTTTCTCGTAAGAATTAAAAAATTTGTTAAGCAAATGCAAAGTTTCTCAGTAAAAAGGCAAACATTTTCTGAGTAAAGACAACATTTTTGGGGGGAATGGAAAAGTTCTGAGCGAACGCAAATGTTCTTGGAGGAACGCAAAAATGTATTGAGCAAACAAAAGTTCCTTGGGGGAACGCCATACTTTTACTTGTGAATGCTTGCGTTTTGTGAGTGAACGCAAAAGTTTGGTTTCTCAGAAGAATGCAAAAGTTTGGTTTCTCAGAAGTTTCTTGGTGAAAGGCAAAACAATTTCTTGGGGAAAGTTTTGTGAATGAACACAAAGTTTCTCAAGGATGCCGAAAGTTTTTGTGAGTGAACGCAAAAGTTTTGTTTCGCAGAAGAATTCAAATGTTTCCTGAGCAAACGCAAAAATTCGTGGTGAAAGGCAAACTTTTTGTGAGTAAACGCAATTTCTTAGGGGAACGCCAAATTTTGTGAATGAGCGCAAAGTTTCTAGGAAGGAAGTAAAAGTTTTTGTGAGAAAACAACATTTCTTGTGCCAATCAGCTTTCTGATAGAGGCATCACCTGTTTGTTAATTGTTGATTTGAAGACATACTGTATGATATTGAAAATGAATCTTGACCAACAGTTTTGAAGATTTCACTCTTTCTTGAAACGGAAGCCTGTTTCCACCTAAAAAGAGGTAATTGTGACTATTTACTGCAGTTGCCACTGGCAAAAAAAAATTTACGCAAACGTTTTGTGAGCAAATTCAAAGTTTCTCAGTGTAATAGAAATGTTTGTGAGCAAACGTAAAGTTTCTCGGGGGAACACTTACACAATACTTTTACTAGAGAACGCTTACCCTTTGTGAGCGAATGCAAAAGTTTTGTTTCTCAGAAGAATATTCTTGAGCAAATGCAAAGTTTCTTGGTGAAAGGCGAAAGTTTCTCGGGGATGCAAACACTAAGTTTCTTGGCGAAGGCAAACTTTTTGTGAGTGAACTCAAAATTTCTTGGAGGAACAAGTTTTTGTGAGAAAACGTATAATTTCTCAGGGAAATAATACTTTTACTAGAGAGCGCTTATGTTTACGCAAAGTTTCTCGTAAGAATTAAAAAATTTGTTAAGCAAATGCAAAGTTTCTCAGTAAAAAGGCAAACATTTTCTGAGTAAAGACAACATTTTTGGGGGGAATGGAAAAGTTCTGAGCGAACGCAAATGTTCTTGGAGGAACGCAAAAATGTATTGAGCAAACAAAAGTTCCTTGGGGGAACGCCATACTTTTACTTGTGAATGCTTGCGTTTTGTGAGTGAACGCAAAAGTTTGGTTTCTCAGAAGAATGCAAAAGTTTGGTTTCTCAGAAGTTTCTTGGTGAAAGGCAAAACAATTTCTTGGGGAAAGTTTTGTTAATGAACACAAAGTTTCTCAAGGATGCCGAAAGTTTTTGTGAGTGAATGCAAAAGTTTTGTTTCGCAGAAGAATTCAAATGTTTCCTGAGCAAACGCAAAAATTCGTGGTGAAAGGCAAACTTTTTGTGAGTAAACGCAATTTCTTAGGGGAACGCCAAATTTTGTGAATGAGCGCAAAGTTTCTAGGAAGGAAGTAAAAGTTTTTGTGAGAAAACAACATTTCTTGGGGAAACAGTACTTTTAATAGAGAACGTTTATATTTTGAGAGTGAACGCAAAAGTTTGGTTTCTCAGAAGAATTCAAACGTTTCTTGAGCAAACGCAAAGTTTCTTGGAGGAATGCAAAAATGTTTGTGATTAAACGTAACGTTTCTTGGGGAAACAATACTTTTACTAGAGAACGCTTACGTTTTGTTAGTGAACGCAAAAGTTTGGTTTCTCAGAAGAATGCAAAAGTTTCTCAAGCAAACGCAAAGTTTCTTGGTGAAAGGCAAACTATTTGTAAGCAAACGCAAAATTTCTTGGGGAAACGCAAAAGTTTTGTGAATGAACACAAAGTTTCTCAAGGATGCCGAACGTTTTTTTGAGTGAACGCAAAGTTTCTTGGAGGAATGCAAAAGTTTTTGTGAGAAAATGTAAAGTTTCTTTGGGAAACAATACTATTACACTCTTAAAAATAAAGGTGCTTCAAAAGGTTCTTCAAGCGATGCCATAGAAGAACCATTTTTGGTTCCACAAAGAAGCATTCAGTCAAAGGTTCTTTAAAGAACCATCTCTTTCTTACCTTTTTGTAATCTGAAGAACCTTCTTTCGCCACAAAGAACCTTTTGTCAAACAGAAAGGTTCTTCAGATGTTAAAGGTTCTTTATGGAACCATTTAGACAAAAAGGTTCTTCTATGGCATCGTGAAGCACCTTTATTTTTAAGAGTGTACTAGCGAACGCTTACATTTTGTAAGCGAGCACAGAGTTTCTCGAAAGAATTAAAAAATGTGTTAAACAAATGCAAAGTTTCTTGGTAAAAAAGCAAACACTGTGAGCAAACACAAATATCGATTGATTGAACAAAAGTTTGTTGGGGGAACAGCATAATTTTACTAGCGAATGCTTATGTTTTGTGAGTGATCGCAAAAGTTTTGTAAGGCAAAAGTTTCTTGGTGAACACAAAAGTTTTGTGAATGTACACAATTTTTCTCTGAAATGCAAAACTTTTTTGAGTGAATGTAAGGTTTCTTGGAGGAATGCAAAAGTTATTGTGAGAAAACGTAAAGTGTCTGGGAAGAATGTAAAGGTTTTGCGAACAAAGGCAAAGTTTCTCATAAGAATGCAAATGTTTTGCGAGCAACCGTAAAAATCATTGAAATATTATTTTTACCATTAGCATATTCCGGCTCCATAGAAACAGGTTTATGTAGATAGGAGCTGTACTTACATGCCTAATAAAAACAAAAAATATCTGTGCAGGGTGTTACTAAGATGGCCGTCAAGTGAACTGACTTGCCTTAAAGGTTCTTTAGTTAAAACAACAACTTACAAATCACAGAGTCAATCAATGAGATCTTCAAATGATGTTCTGGGATTGACTGGCACGTTTAATAATCTGAGACACGGGTGACGTTTATCGGACACGGCTAGCAAACAACACAGAGCATGCCTGCTAAATTAGCCCTGTCACTCCCGTCCTCACACGCTCTCGTTCTCCGTCTGTCTTCTGTCAGGAAAGATGTGGAGATAAGCAGCACCAGCAGCCGGCTGGAGGCCGAGGAGGCGCTGAACACAGGCCTGCAGAGGAAGAATAAGGAGCTCCAGGTGAGGCCTCGTGGGAGAGCCGCAGCATTCCTGTCTTTCAGCACCGTGGGGGTCCAAGACTCTGATTTGTGAGCCAGAGATGACTAAAACATAGCTGAGGAGTTCAGGAGCTGATAACGATCTCTCTAGAGAGGGAAGGAAGGCTCCGGTTGTAACCTCACACTGCTTTTTTAAGCAGAGTCTGTTTAACCAGTGCTCTGTTGGCTCGTTTGCACGGGACTTAGAAAGTGACAGCAGAATGATATATTTGGAAAGAAAGAGAGAGTTAGCTCATGTCTGAGGCATTTAAAAGCTGTTGAAAAGCAATGTTAGTTTAACCTCTGTCAGTCCCGCTTCATGTCAAGTAGGTGTGACACCCTCTTCAGATCTAAATTCATTTAGAAATGCGAGATTTTAATGCATTTAAAGGAATAGTTAAGACAAAAATGAAAATGTGCTCACCCTCAGTGCCATTCAAGATGAGTTTGTTTCTTCATCAGATTTGGAGAAATGTAGCATTGCATTGCTAGCTCACCAATGGATCATCTGCAGTGAATGGGTGCCGTCAGAATAAGAGTCCAAACAGCTGATATAAACACCACACTAATCCACAAGTAATCCACACCACTCCAGTCCATCAGTTAATGTCTTGAGAAGCCAAAAGCTGCATGTTTGCAAGAAACAAATCCATCATTAAGACGTTATTAACTAAAATACGCGTCCATAATCCATAATAACACTTGCTCCTTGCTGAGCTAGTGATGCAATGCTACATTTCTCCAAATCTGATGAAGAAACAAAATTCACCTACATCTTGGATGACTTGAGGGTGAGCACATTTTCAGCACATTATCATTTTTGGGTGAGCTTTTCTTTTTAAGGCCATTTCAGAGACAATATCAGGAGGAGATGGCGTACAATTGCCACAGATACATTTCTACTCTTAATGCATTTACAATCATTGCACATAAAATTTGTGGTAATTCAGGTTCCTTTTGTTTCCCGAGCTTCGGTGAGGCTGAAAGACTTGAGATGGACAAGACAGGAGATGGTTTCTCAGCGGACTCAAGCTTGTTTAGAAAACAGACGCTCTTTGTCTCTCGTGCTTATCTGCTTTAATGAAGGGGAAAGTCGATCCGTGTGTTGGTGAGGGTGGACATGTTTTCACTTTCAGCCAGGGCATTCAGCATATCACACAAAGCATGCTTTATGGCTCCGTCTGCCCGTTAATTACAACACAGGTGGAGACAAAGACAAATGTTACATGGAGCACTGGGTTTCTCTGTCGGGTCGGTTCAGGTGAAGTTTTGAATTGCTGGTTGGAGTTTATTAATCAGATAATCGTGATTGTTGTTAATTAGAAGATGAGCATTGTGAGATGGGCAGCTTTCAAGGACAGAGAGACAGATCATCTTAATGTGAGTCAAATAAACACAAGTAATAACATGATGTACGTATCTGGCTCATGTCATGTTGACACAATCATTGAAATAATCTATTTTCATTAATAAATTGGCATGTTGAAAATCTATTCTCGACCTTGCAAAAATCAAATACTTGGTCTCTTGGTCTTTATGAATATTTTAGTTTGTAACCGGGGCTAGTTGGCTAGGTTTTAAGTTAATATATATAAAAAAAAAAAGTCAATTTATAGTCCTGCAGAAGGTAAAAGAATGTGAAATCATGCAAACCATCATGGGAATGACAGGATAGTGTCTTTTAGAAATAATGATATGGAAGAACTCGATCTTTTGATGATTGATCAGGTTCGTTCTCTAGGAATGCATTGATCATTCTGTCATTATTTACTCATTTCGACTCATGTGACACAGAAGGGAACATTATCAATAGTTTGCTGGTCGCTCTTTTCCATGCAATTGGAGCAAATGAGGATAAAAAAACACCACTTAACTATCATAACTGTATGACTCATTCTCAGTATTACAAGTTTTCTGAAGTCGCACAATGGCTTTGTGTTAATCAAAATGTGAACCTTTTATATGACTCAGAAACTACAAGATTCCATTTCAACATATCAAAATATTCCTACATAGTGTAAGTATTGACTCCATTAACACTTTTTGCCAGCCTTTCTCAGACGGAGCTTTATCGGGGTATTTATATTGGCTGTTTATTAAAGCACATATTCTGTATGACCATATTCTACATCCCTAATCCTACCCAATACCTAAACTTAACAACTACCTTACTAACTATTAATAAGCAGCAAATTAGTAGTTTGTTGAAGCAAAAGTCAAAGTTAATTGTTTTTTAATAGCAAGAACTGGTCCTTTAAATAAAGTGTGACCAGCTGATCTGTTCAGTGTGTGTGTGTGTGTGTGTGTACCTGGTCTTCCCTATGTTATGGGGCCAAAATGTCCCCATGAGGAAACAAGCTTAAAGCAAGCTACAGTTTTTTTTAATCTAAAAATGCATAAAGTTTTGTGTGAGGGGTAGGTTCACAGGTAGGTTTAGGGTAAGGGGATAGAAAATACACTTTGTACAGTATAAAAACCATTACACTTAATGAACCCATAATGATAAGAATACCAGTGTGCATGTGTGTGTGTGTGTGTGTGTGTGTGTGTGTGTGTATGGAGGGCAGGCTGAACTGCTCAGTGAGTGTGAAGGGGGTGTGGATTCCCTTCAGTCTGAGGTGAGCTTGTGTGTGTGTATATGTGTGTATGTGTGTGTGTCAGTCTGCTTCGGTCTCTGCTGCTCATGGCTGTTCTCTCCACTGAGGTCCTTCGCTGGCATGTGAGTTTCTGAGCTCTACTTTTTCACTGCATTGCAGTTTGTGGATGTTATTCCTTGTATCGCTCACATTTCTGCTTGCCCCTGCACGTGTGGAACATCAGTAGCTTGATCTGTTAAGTAACTTTTAATTCAGCTATTTTTAAATGGGAGTGAGTCATTCAGGCCTTTGGGTTCAAGTTGAATCTCTTTCTGAGTGAGTGTGTGTGTGTGTGTGTGTGTTGGATCTGAGGTTGTCAGCATGTGTGTTATGTGTGTCCTCCAGCGATTCAGACAAACTTCCTGCCTGTGACAGAGAGAAGATCATTCATAAGACGTTATGTGCCACAAGACATGAGGATGAGGAGTTCATCACTGTTTTCAAACTTGCAGTCATAAATTTCTGTCAGTTCCCAGTTTACATTTCCTAATGTCATGTTTTCGGCACTATGGTATTTTGTGGTTAATATAACTTTTAAGGAAGTTGATTACATTTATTAAAGAACATGCCTGTTTTTGTCTCAGCCGTGTGCACAGAAAAGGTTCAAGGGTTTGACCCAGAGTATTTGCTTTGTGATATTTTCACAAGAATTCCAGCGTGTCCCATCTAGTTGGCCGTTCGCTCTTCCTCTGTGGTTTTTTACTGTGTGATTATGGTGTCACACTGATTGGAGAGCTTATCTTAGATTTGGACACATGGGAAGAAAGCCAAAGGAGTAGGTTATTTTGGAAAATGGAATGTTATTCAATTATTTCAAATGTCTTTATTTCTTTAGAATGTCTTTTTCATTAAAAAATCTCTTGATGCTCAATTGATTATATTCTGTTAATTAAACAGTAAAAGTATGTATGCACACTGCTGTACCAAAGTTTGTGGTCTGTAAGATCAGCAAGGCTGCATTAATTTGATCAAAAGTGACAGTAGAGTCATGATGTTACAAAATATTTCAGTTTCAAATAAATGCTGCTCTTTTGAGCTTTCTATTCATCACAGAATCTTGAAATTGTATCATAGTTTCCACTAAAATATGAAGCAGCAGTTTTCAACATCGATAATAATTAGAAATGTTTCTTGAGCCGCAAATCAGCATATTCAAATGATTTCTGAAGAATCATGTGACACTGAAGATTACACAGGGGTAATGATGCTGAAAATTCAGATTTGATCACAGGAAATATATAATGTATAAATTACATTTGATTCACATACAAAACAGCTATCTGAAATAGTACAAATATTTCACAATTTGTACTGTATTTTGATCAAATAAATCAGCCTGGATGAGCAGAAGAGGCTTCTTTTAGAAACATCAAAAAATCTTACCAACCACAAACGGTAGTTTTGTGTCTATATACAGATTCTGTCTTTATTTGCGCATTTAAATGAAAGTTTATTTGCTTTTTAAGGTCAACAGAGTATGCACGGAATGATTCATTTTAGTACACTATACCAAGTATGATTGTATTTGGTTTCTCGTCCCACAGGTCCGCATCGAGGAGCTGGAGGAAGAGCTGGAGGCTGAGAGAGCCTTACGGGCAAAGGTACGACACAGAAATCGAACCTAACGAGCGTCTGCTGATTGTGAATGGCCCTCAATGACCTCATCTCCTAAACACACAAGCGCTGATCTTTGTCCAGAATCGCCAGATAAGTGAGACTAATGTCGTCCATTAGCTTATCTGGGAGTTTGACTGATGAGGTATTTGTGGCACCTGAACGTACCTGCAAACGATTACAGGACAAACTTCAGATACGCTTTATAAAACAGAAATAGCAAAAAGGCGATTAACTAAATTACACATTTTATTAGCATTAGTTTTCAAAATAGTGCAGCTTTTCTAGTTACAACCAATTTTTTATCAGAGTGTGAGTTGAGCTGATAATCAAACACACTCCTGCCATATGTCGCTTTGGAAAGTTGTATTCATACGGAATTGATTCATGGAAATGATTGCAGCAGTTTTGTTAA